CAATTGGATGAAACCAAAGTAGCTTTGGGTCCCTATATTCTGGGTCTAATTGCATCGTTTGTGGTCTTATTTACTGAAATAAACCAAAATAATAATAATAATAATAATTCATATGATTCTCAAATATTAAATCCTAAAGACAGTGAAAATAATAGGAGATTCAAGAATTATAATTATTTTAAACGTCCAAGTAGAAATTCAATATTTTAATAATAAATAATTTGTTATATTAAATGCATTTAAGAATTACATGAATTACAAAAGGACTTTAATAAAATAGTATGATAAATACAGAATTTAATTTGTTTTGATATTTATTTTGAGCTTTCAAATAAAGCATTACAATCATAATTTATTTTTTTGGTCATTCAAATTATGATCATTATGCATTTTCTTAAGATTCCTATATGTACACTCTACATTGTACAGTATGAATAAATAAAATTGTAAAATAAATAAACTTTTGTTAAGTCATAATTACAACCTTTGATTTGTACAGTCTTTGTTTAAGTTGATGTCATTTACATTATGTTTGTTTGCAAAATAAAACATTTTGAGTAATTACACTGATTTTGAAATTGAGAGCATTGTATTGATATTTGTTTATTACTAATACAGTATTATTGAGAAATAAAAGCACTCATTATACTTTATAATATAAAGTTTATATGTTGAAATTTTGCTATATGTTCAAATACTTAAAATTATTTATTATGTGATGAATAAAATTTTTATTATAAATAGCTTATATAATAAGCATAACAAGTATATATGAATTAAAAGATCAAAGAGAGCCATATGTCTGAAACTTAGTAATGCATTGGTTTTCAAATAACATATTTAAAGTATATCAAAAATTACTAATTTCTATTGAAAATTGTATATTAAATATGAAAACCAAAGCATTACTAAGTTTCAGACATATGGCTCACTTTGATCTTTGAATTCATAATATTATTATGATTTATACTAAAATAAAATGCATTCTTAATTCAGTATAACATTTCATAAATAATGATAATACGACTCGATATGAATGCCATATTATAACCATTAATATTTTAATAAAATATAAGTGCATCTATTTTAATTTAAATATCTACAGTTCAGTAGACTATAAAATGTTCTGCTTATATATAATTACAACATATTTTACAAATTAAAGACAATTAATTTGATTTAAATACCTAAAAGTACAGGTTAATTTAGAAATATTTAGTGATTGATGATGGTATTTATTGCATAAATGCCAGTACTGTATTTATATATCAAATATTGTTTAGTTTTATATTTTGTATAAGTTTTAAAATTTATTTTATTAAACTCGTAAGTTGAAAATTGCATAATAACTGCATTGAATAACAACTTTATAACAACACATACAGTATTTGTGTTGATCTATATATAAATCATAATCAATTTATTGATTTAATAAATTGAGACGAAAACATATTAACTGTTATTAAGTATAATTTTAATAAAGTACTAATTCATGAACTAATGGAATAAGTAGTTATATAACTTAATAAAGGAATAGCTCAAATATCATAAATTCAAGGCATGTACAGTACAATAAATCCATTTTCACCAGGTTTATCTGAACGCACATATGAATCACGACATGCAAGATCCGACTAAGTCCCATCTAATGTAAATCTGTATATTTATTTAGTTATAAGTTTAATATTTGTTTTATATAGGCATATTATATTCATTTATAACCATAAATGATATTTCTATTTTAATAAATATATTTAGTTATCATTTATACATATTTGAATAAAACAATTATTTGACGACTACAATATTTTGAACAAAATGCTCTTAAATACTACTGTAGTTTCATTAAAATACAGTATACTTTAAAACACATTACCGGTAGTTGTGCTAATATTCATTTATTTAACTGATTAAACTTATTTATGGATATTTTATTGTATACTTTCTAATGTCCTACAGTATTGAGATTTATGGTTTAACGAATTGTAATATTAGTATTATTTATTAAAGGTGTTTTGCAATGTGAGTACAATAGCTATGAGTACACAGTATGATATACAAATATCATGTTATGATCTTAATGCCTATTTATTTAAAAGCTTCAAATAAATATCTAAACAAATTAAATTTTGTATTTAGTATTTATTAAAGTCCTATTGTAATTCATGTGATCTTTAAAATGCATTTAATATAACAAATTATTTATTTACTAAAATATACTCTACTTACTTTTATTTCTCGTTAGACTTTTAAAGTAAGTATAATTCTTGAATCTCCTATTATTTTCTGTGTATTCATTTATTATATAATCTTAAATTAAGATTTAGATTTATCCAGCTTAAATGGTAAATTAACCACTTTTAAGAATTATGAATTCAAATCACTGTATATTTCATAACGAAAATGAATTTATTAATTACTCAAATGATCCAATAAATTATAATTATAATAAAACAATTCTTATACAACCTTTAAGTATGTCACCATACATTTATATATCGTACGTATTATTTATATAAATATTTTTATTATTAATTCATCAATTATTTTATATATATATTTTATTTATAAATTAATAGTAAAACAGATGACAATTCTGTATATGAAATATGTGGTCCACTATTAATGATTATTCTCGAATTTGTCAAACTATATAAAATTCCGTAACATTGTTTTCACATTAATAACATTAACATGATTAATTTTACTTATGAATTTATGTATGATGTATGTCCAGTGTGAAGGTGAAGGGTCGTCCCTCATCTCTATTTGACTTAATGGAGCGTATAGTGGAGGACGGGGTCGACATATTCCTATCACCGGTCACTTCGAGTGCTTATTTCGATTACACCGACAAAATCGGCCAAATTAACGCCAACTACTCGTTTAAATACACCAATAATATGGGCTATTTGGAGGTGGGCACATTTATAGCCAGGACAACTATCGGTGCCGCGCCATTGCTCACATACTTCCGGTGCTTTCAGCTAAACGTATGGATCATTGTTTTGATAGCACTTATCGCCATATCTTTGGTCTCATCTCTGAAGACATTTACTGTTTATATATTTTATGAATATTTCTGGAATTATTGTACAATTCTTTACACGAAATCATTGCAAGAATTTATACTGAAATCCAAACAAAAGCTGTTATTATTTTTGTGGCTATTATCCGCTTGTATACTGGCGCTAGAATTTACGGTATATTTATTAGACTATATGGTGAGCGCAGTACCGGTACTCAGAATAGATTCGTTGGAAGAGCTATCAAAGCACCGGGATATGGAGATTTATGTCCGAGACGACAGTCCCCTTAACTCTTACGGAAGTCTAGTCAAAACAGATTTAGCCAAAGCTATTGGCCCTCAATTGAGACCATTTTTTGATTATTACGAGTTTGGGTTCAGAGAGAAATTAATCCAAGGCTTAAAGAATGGCTCCATAGCCTATGCAAATTCACGGCTTGTATTAATTTTTAATATAATAGGTTTACTATCAGTCGAAAAGGCAGTGGGTTTTGGCGATGAAAAATTGGTTGATTTAATACATATATCTCGTGATTCTGGAGGTCTTGAGCCATACTTTCTGTTTGTGAACAATGCGACCGATAAATGGATTTTATTAATATTAAATAAAATGTTAGTACTGTATAATTTATTTGATAGCTTAATGTTTATTATGTTATATGATATTAATTCTGTTTTCATTCATTTGATATCATAATAAATAGGATTTTAATGGTAAAAGAGTCGGGACTGTATGACCAGTGGAATAGAGATATACTATTGTTTGTAAGCAATAAAACCAATGAATTTATTCATAGAAAACAAATCAATTCATACGATTATAATGATATTGCCATGAGAAATGTGCTAGATCTCATGTATACTTGTCTTATTGTCACAGTATTTTCAGTAATTATTTTATTATTTGAATTAATTTATTATAGAATTGCATTAAATAAAAATACAAAATATAATATGGTACAAACACATTTTAAATGTAATAATAAGTTAAATCCCAATATTCATGTAAGGAAAAATGAGTGGTAGTATATATCGTTATTTATAACTTTTAATAATTAAACTATACAAAAATTATAAATGTTTAAACGATTTTATATTTTTAAATGACTACAATATAATTCAAATAAATGTTGTATCAATAGAAATACCTGTAGCATAATAATTAATAATTTCTTTGTACATGCTAAAAGTAAATGCAATAATTAATAAACAAACTTTAAAAATATAATTATAATTAATATGATTTAAACATTGAAGTTTAGAGGTATCTTATGAGCTCTACCAATAGGACTCCAATAGCAAAAGAAATACCAAGAATATAGGGACCAAATACTATATTCATAGCATCCATGTCCATGTAATCAATGGCCTGTATTTCCGTGAACTTATAGCCCTTATCCACATAAACACTGTACCCATACTTAGCCCCAGCGTCCACCCATTTCCACCACAACCCGCACTCCATTGCCAATGAAAATCTGTTTATAATCAAAGAATAAACCCTTTAATTATATGCATTTCTAGATATTATATATATTTAATAATACTTCATTATATACAATTAAGGATTTTATATTAATATGTTTGCTAGACTTACATATTTTTGTACTCAATGGCCAGTCGTGTTTTGGCAANTGTTTGCTAGACTTACATATTTTTGTACTCAATGGCCAGTCGTGTTTTGGCAATACTTTTATGAACGACCCAACCGTACGGTCTATCGAAGTACTGGTGTCGAGATATATGTGTTGAGTGTTTGTAAGAATCTGTTTGTCTTATAAATATCTGTATATTAAAATCGGATGCAATTAACACATGTGTCTTCTTATCCCGGATTACAGAAATCAAGTCATTATAATGTGTCGGCATTTCACTGTATGTTAAGTCAAAGTAGTTTTCATTGCCTTTAATGAGTGCCTTATTTATAATTCTGGACTCAATTTGTGTCGCCATTTGCTAAAAAATTACAATATTTTAAATTACATATAATTTTCTGATTAATAAAATGTTACTTTAATTTGTTTCAATTCAGACGACGACATAATAAGCTTTGGCTGTAAATGTGGTCTTTCCTCCAATTCCTGCAACGAATCGATAACTTTATACGGGTTTTGAATAGTAATCGATAGGATCTCCTGATTAAAGAAATTTAATACGAAAAACTTTGCCACAAATAAAACGCCAATAATTAACAAATATCTGTGTGTCCTATATCTTACAGTTATATCTAAATCAAAGCAAAAATAGTTATTTTATAAATTATTACAATATATGCAAGTTTAATTATCAATACTTTGCATTAGAAGTGCATTTATTGTTATCGATATTTGTTTTAATGTCTCATTTTTGTCAATTCTTTTGACCACAGATTTACTGTTTAAATATAAATTTATTTGTAAACTAAAGGATTTTATATAACAATAGATACTTAAACAATATGTCATATTAATGTTTTATACTTAATATTAATGACTTCTAATGATAAGACTGTTAAACACACCAATGTGCTAATTGCTAAAAATGACCAAAACTATTAAATGAAAAAGTAAATCTATTTTAGTTTATATAATCAGTATAATATTCATAGATTATAACATACATATCCGTCAAAAATCTTCAAAGTGCCAAAATATGAATTGGTGTCTGTGTTGATATATAAACCTCCTAATATGGTAATACCCGGGTAATTAAATGACACCAATATATCTGCAAATGTAATTAGCATCTCATTCAGTTGATAATTCTCCATAGCTATATCCACTTCCTAACAAAATTAGTAATGATGTTTAATATTGAATTATTTAGCATACAGGTATTACTTTTGCGTAAACGTAATTCAAATGAGGCTCTGATGTATAATTGTATCCAGATAATTGCAAATAGCGTTTGGGGTTTATCTCAACGGGAATGGCTCTGTAAAAACATAATTAAATTACTAATTATCTTAAAATACTGACAACACTTACGCGTATTGTGTGCGTCGGACCAACTCTTTGAGCACAAAGTAATAGCCTGAACACAACACCTTCATGTCGGAGGTTGTTGTCTGGATCAATTGAAAACTAATTAGATTTTGACAGATTAAATTAACATGCTTACCATATGACCCCAAGTGGTGGTGAAATTGCCTTTGCGTACGAAATCATAATCAAATTGAAATGCATCCGTTTGGTAACCAAAATTAAAATCGCATCTCATGTTTGCCGTATCCATTGCACCGCTTTTATTAATACTGTTTTAATTGTTTAAATATTATATTAATATGTGAGGATGTTTTTTATAATGTTATATAATATTTTATTTCACAATAGCATTAGTTGCTAAAATTTTGTCTGTTTGAAAATAAATTCAATCATAGGACATTTTGGTACATTATTTTATTTATTATCGTTTTAAGTTTAGTTGTACTGATTAGTAAAATAAGTAATTGAAAATTCAACTTCTGAATTTAATGATTATTTTAAAAATAAACTATGTAACCTTGGTGTACCCCAAATTGTAAACCTTCATATTGCATAACTTTTCATTATATTAATATATTAATAAAGTAACGCAAACCTGTATTTACCTGGAATTAGCATATGCCTTTTATAATATTAATTACATTTATTAATTTAAACATGTTTTATTGTTTACCACAGAATAGCCAAATTATTATGGAAATTTAAAATTCAATGCGTATAGCGTATCATATTCACTAAATTAGCCATTTAAACTAATAAACCTTATTCTTAACTTGTTTGATTACGCTAATTCTTCAAACATATTTTTAAAAATATACAGTACTATTTAAACTAAGTTTACATTATACTGTATTGCTTTACAAAATGATTATAATATGAAAAATACCTTATGTAAATATAAAAATAAAAAGTACAACTACTTAGTACAGGGTGTATTAGGCGTAACAGAAATAAAAATTAATTCATTTGTGAATAAACAATATATTGATTAGTATTATATTAAAATAAATAATTATACTACTATATAAATTTAATTTACTATTATAAATTCTACTGTATTGCATTACAAAGTGAAATAATCATACGGTATATCTTATCTAATTATAGAAATAACAAGTACAACTAATTATTAAAGGGTGTGTTAGGCGTAACCGGGATAAAATAAAAAGTAATTTAGTTGTGAATAAACAAACAATATATTAATTAGTATTATGTAAATATTTTTATGTTTGAAACTGTTATATATTCATTTAATTCATTTTGGGCTAGACGAAATTAAAATAAATTAATATTTTTTTATAATTTTTTAAATATACAGTAAATCTATCAATAACAAAAATTTATTTCTCTATAATATAGATTATTTCTCTTAAATTAAGATTTAGATTTATCCAGCTTAAATGATAAATTAACCACTTTTAAGAATTATGAATTCAAATCACTGTATATTTCATAACGAAAATGAATTTATTAATTACTCAAATGATCCAATAAATTATAATTATAATAAAACAATTCTTATACAACCTTTAAGTATGTCACCATACATTTATATATCGTACGTATTATTTATATAAATATTTTTTTTATTAATTCATCAATTATTTTATATATATATTTTATTTGTAAATTAATAGTAAAACTCATGACAATTCTGTATATGAAATATGTGGTCCACTATTAATGATTATTCTCGAATTTGTCAAACTATATAAATTACCGTAACATTGTTTTCACATTAATAACATTAACATGATTGATTTGACTTATCAATTTATGTATAATGTATGTCTAGTGTAAAGGTGAAGGGTCGTTCCGCATCTCTATTTGACTTAATGGAGCGTATAGTGGAGGACGGGGTCGACATATTCCTATCACCGGTCACTTCGAGTGCTTATTTCGATTACACCGACAAAATCAGTCAATTTAACGCCAACTACTCGTTTAAATACACCGATAATATGGGCTGTTTGGAGGTGGGCACATTTATAGCCAGGACAACTATCGGTGCCGCGCCATTCCTTACATACTTCCGGTGCTTTCAGCTAAACGTATGG